AATTGACAAATCCTTAGCTGTTAAACTAATTATGAAACAGGGAGAAGACCAAATGAAATCAGAAATGAGAGAGGGGACATTACATCTGATGCCACAGAGATAAAAAGGATCACAGGAGATTACCATGATTGCAACAACAAACTGAATAACCTATAAGAATTGGATAAATCCCTAGAGACATGCAACCTTCCAAGACTAACTCATGAATAAACAGAACAGATCTATAACTACTAGGGAGACTGAATCAGTAATCAAAAAACTCCCAGTGAAGAAAAGCCCGGGACCAGATGGCTTCATTGGTGAATTCGTCCAAACATTTAAGTAAGAATTAATGCCATTCCTTATCAAACTTTTGCAAAGAATGGAACAGAAGAGAATACTTCCAAACTCATTTTATGAGGCCACCACTTCCTTGATACCAAAGCCAAAGACAAGACATGAAAAGAAACTTATAGGCCAATATCCTGGATGTATATAGAAGGAAAAATCCTCAACAAAATATAAGCAATCTGAATGAAACAGCACGTTTAAAGGGTCATACACTATGAACAAGTGGGATTTATGCCTGACATAAAAGGATGGTGCAACATGCTAACATCAGTTAATGTGAGACAGCACTTTAACAGAATGAAAGATAAAAATCACATGATCATCTCAATGGACGCACAAAAAGCATTTGACGGAATTCAAAACACTTTTATGATAAATCTATCAACAAATCAGTTATAAAAAGATTTACTTTTATCAATTTAGTAAAGGCCGTATATGAAAAGTTCACAGCTGACGTTATACCTCCTCTGATAATCAAGTTTTCATGCATACCTTTCTTTTTTAGGGCTCTCTCATCTGTCTCCTTGCTCTGTTAGCCTATCTCTGTACAAGTATCACACTGACTTAATAACTATTGCTTCATAATAAGATGATAAGGTAAACATTTTCACATAGCTCTTCTTAGGTTTGTTTTTTTGTCTTTTGTTTCTTCATTTTAGGAAAAGCTTGACAAATTCCAACAGAAAATATTAGAATTTTGACTGGAATGGCATAGACTTATAAATTAATTTCAGAATTATTGTCATCTTCACAATATTGGGTGCCAGTACATTTCTTTTGTCTCACTAAAAAAATTTTCTTAAGCTTTTATCCCTGTTTTCTTCAGTCCCATCTTGGAATTTACTTACAATCTTTTGGACTGTGTCTAGTCTCAGTGTATTTTGCTTTTCCAGTTTTCTTTTTTGGTATCAATGACTGCATTTTAAAGGAGCTTTAGTGAGATAAAATTCAGGTAGTGTATGATTCACACATCTAAAGCATACAATTCAAGGCTTTTTAGTATATTCACAGTGTTGTACAATCATCATAACAGTCTAATTTTAGAACATTCTGTAGCCTCTGAAAGACACCCAATATCCATTAACAGTCACTTCCCATTTCAAGGTTCATCCATGTATCAGTGCATCATTTCTTTTTCTTCCTGAATAGTATTCCATGTTGTATAGAAACCCCACATTTTGTTCATTCACTCATCAGTTGATGGACTTTGGGTTGTTTCCACTTTGGGCTATTATGAATAATGCTGCTGTGAACGTTCGTGTGCAAGTTTTTGTTTAGACATATGTTTTCATTTCTCTTGGATATATGCCTAGGAATGGAATCGCTGGTTCACTTTAACATTTTGAGGCACTGCCAAATTATTTTCCAAAGTGGCTACACCATTTTACATTCTACTAGCAATGTATGAAGTCTATTTTCTCCACATCCTTATTACTGTCTGTCTTTTTGATTATAGCTGTCTTAGTGGATGTGAAGTGATATCTTGTGTTTTTTATTTCCATTTCCCTAATGATTAATGATTTTGAGTATCTTTTCATGTGCGTGTTGGCCATTTGTACATCTTTTTCTAGCGAAATACCTGTTCAAATTCTTTGCTGTTCAATGTCTTTTTCTATAGAAAATGTTCAAATTATCTTCCTTTAGATATGTGATTTTCAAATATTTTCTCCCATTCTGTAGGTTGTCCTTTAACTTTCTTGACAGTTATCATTTACAGCAGAAAAGGTTTTAATTTTGATTTAGTCTACTTTACCTATTTTTCTTTTGTCACTTGTCCTTTTGGTGTCATATCCAAGAAGCCATTACCTAACCAAAGGTTATGAAGATTTACTCCTTTATTTTCTTTAAGAATTTCATAGTTTTAGCTCTTACATTTAAGTCTATGGTCCATTTTGAATTAATATTTGTATATGGTGTAAGGTAAGGATCCAGCTTCATTCTTTTGCATGTGCTTTTCCAGTTGTCCCAGCACCGTTTTTATTGAAAAAGACTGTTCTTTCCCCAGTGGGCACCCTTGTTGAAAATTAATTAACGATAGATGTATGGGTTTATTTCTGGAACATCATTCTGTTCAGCTGGTCTGTATGTCTGGCTTTATGCCAGTACCACACTGTCACAATTACTGTAGCTCTGTAGTAAGCTTTGAAATTAGGAAGTGTGAGTTCTCTAACTTTCTTCTTTTTCATGATTGTTTTGGCTATTCTGGGTTCTTTGCATTGCCATAAGCGTTTTAGGATTGATTTATCAATTTCTGCAAAAAAGTCACTTGGGATTTTGATAGATATTGCATTTAATCTGTTCGTTAATTTGGGGAATATTGCCATCTTAAAATTAATGTCTTCCAACCCATTAACAAAAAATATCGTTCATTAATTTCTTTTAACAGTGTTTTGTAGTTTCCATTTTACACGTCTTAGACTTCTTTTGTTAAATTTGTATGTATTTTATCTTTTGATTCTATTATGAACAGGATTGTTTTAATTTATTCTTGGTTTGTTATTTGCTTGTGTATAGAAATACAACTGATTTTTTTATATTGACCTTCTATCCTGCAACCTTGTAAATTCATTTATTAGTTCTAATAGTTTTATTAATTGATTCCTTAGGATTTTTTACATACTAGATCATGTCATCCTTAACAGAGAGAGTTTTACTTCTTCCTTTCCCATTTAGATGCCTTTTTATTTCTTTTTCTTGCCTAACTGCCCCCACTAGAAACTTCTGCACGTTATTAAATTAAATTCTGCTGTGACAGCAGAATTCCTTGCCTTGTTTGTGATCTTAGGGAGAAGGTTTCAGTCTTTGATCACTGAGAATGATGTTAGTTGTAGGTGTTTCATAAATGCTCTTTATCAGCTTTGGGAAGTTGCTTCTGTTTCTATTTTATTGAGAGGTTTCTTAACTTTTAAAGGGTATAACTTTTGTTAAAAGACTTTTCTGTTTTTATTGATATGATTATGTGGTTTTTGTCCTTAAATCTCTTAATATGGTGTAATACATTAATTGATTTTCTAATGTTAAACTAACCCTGCATTCCTAGTTATGTTGTATAATCCTATTATATGTTGCTGGATTCAGTTTGTTGAGGTATTTTGAATCTATATTCGTAAGGGATCCTGGTCTGTAGTTTTTTTCCATGTGATATCTCTGTCTGTTTTGGAATTGGCAATACTGGTCTCATAGAATGAACTGGAAGTATCCCTTCTTCTTTTCTCTTTTTTGGAAGAGTCTGTGAAGGATAGGTATTAATTCTTTGAATATTTGGTGTAAGTCGTCTGGGCCTGGGCTTTTCTTCTTGGGAAGTCTGAAAATTGCTATTTTTATCTCTTTACTTGTTATGAGAATATTCAGATTTTTTATTTCTTCTTGATTAATTTTCAGTAATTTGTGTCTTTTTAGGGATTTCATGCAAGCTATCTACTTTATCCACATACAATTTTCATAGTATTCCCTTAGAATCTTTTTGATTCCTCTAAGATCAGTGCTGATGTACCCTCTCTCATTCCAGTTTTAGTAACTGAATCTTCTCTTTTTCATGGTGTGTCTAGCTAAAAGTGTGTCAGGTTCGTATATCTTATTGACCACACTTTAAATTGCTAATGTTTAAACTTATTTCATTTCCAACACTTTTTGCTTTACTTCCTTGTATTATTGTTCATAATTTCTTGTTCATTTGCGATCTTTTTTCATTTGTCGTTTTGAGCATCTTGAACTTATTTACTTAGGAATATTTGTCAGTATTCTTTGTAGTTTAAATTTCATCAGGGTGACTTCTTCCTCCAGCGGCTTATTTTACTTGCTGTCTTTCTTAGCCTTTGGTTTCTGTATGTGGTTTTGAATTTTGATTTTCAGGCACACTGAGTGGGAGGACCTTGTTTTCTCATTCTGTGTGTGCCCACTTTCTCCTGGCTTTTTGATTTTGTGGTCACCCCTGCCTGGTTCCCTGGGGCCCACGTCCTGGGCAGGAGTGCGTATTGCCCTTCCTGCCTTCTTAGACTCACTACTGTCACCCGGAGCTCTATGCATTTGTGGTGGAAGTTGCACTCAGCTCCCATTTGTGGCTGGTGGAGCCTCTCGCCATCTCCTGACTTGAAGGGGTACAACTGGCTGCAGCGCCCATCTCATGTCGACCCCTGGGCTCTGGGCTTCCTCTGCCTTTTTCTTCCTCTGGAGCCCAGTGGACTGAAGGTTTTAGCCTCGCTTGTCACTTTCTTTCTGATTTGCTGCAGGTTTACAAGGGTTATTCAGTGTATATTTTAAAGGCTTTGTTCTTTGTTTACAGCAAAGGGGTATCACAAAGCAAGGCTATTCCGCGCCATCTTGGCAGGAAGTTCTCTAGAGTGAACTTTTGGAAACTTAGCTTGCTCAAGTTTGGAGACCTCAGTATGGAACAAACCTCTTAAGAGATACTGTGTTCTAAGGAGATAGAAAATATTTATCTATGTTACCCATTTTTGAATGGAGTGTAAAATGTCAAATATTGTTCTAGAAAGAATTCAGATAGGTAAGCCCTAAGATAAACTAACCAGACTTATTACAGTGCTGATATTCCCTGAGGCTTGTCTCTCTGGACTGCTGCTGTGACTGTGTGTGTGAGAGAGAGAGGGAGGGAGGGAGAGAGGGAGAGAAGGAAAAGGAATATGCTTCTGATTGTCTGATTTTTATTATAGCTGGACTGGTGACGGAAAGGACTCAAATTGAAGATATATCTAGGGAGGTGCCTGTTGATAACACTTCCAGTTTCAGACAACCCTGTGTGATACCCTTTGGACCCTGAATATTGGGACTTCCTGTGCTGTGCTCATAAGGCATTATGTAAGACACATGAGGGCACAGTAAGTACAGTTTTAACTGTAATTTGTTAAGATTTTACAATAAATAATAAGGGTAAGATGAAAAACCGAGGGGCGTGGGTGGCTCCCGACTCGACTAAAGCTGGCGGCGGGGACTTGGAGGAGGGTGGGGAGCGCGGCCGCCTGTGCTCGTTTGTTCTGTAATCTTGGGCAGGTTACTTATCCCCTCGGTGTTTCCTCGTCTGTGACATGGGGGTGATAATGGTAAGAAAGCGTTTTTTATCATAAGCATTAATAAATATCAGTTGAAAGTCTGTATGTAAAGGGATTATGGCTATGCCAGGTGCATATGAATACCCAGGTAACATTAGCTATTATTATTAATATAACTAAGCAGGAGCAATAATTTGTGCAGAAGTTATCAAAATGCATTCATTTGTAATTATTTATTAATTTGTTCAAACACCCACTACTAGGTATGATTAACATCGAGTAGCAACTGGGTGACTACATTCTAGCCTGGTGACACTTGTGAAGTAGTGGGAAATCAATGCAATGGTCAGATATTTGTATTTGATATTTTGGTGCTAAATTCACTTTAAATCCTCTGCAACATCCTAGAAGCGGCTAGAACTCAGCTCTGTGGGGCGTGCACTTCCTTCCACGAACACTATGTGAATGGCCATTTGTAATTCTTTAATGGCATCATCATGTTTCTTGTTAATTTACGTACGTTTCTTAGCCGTACAGTGGCCATAAGATTTATTGTTTAAACTGGAACAATTTTAGGAGTGAAAGGCAGTGCTATAAATAATTATGCCAGGATGGGAGGCGTAAGACAGCACTACCCTTGGTTAGATAGGGCACGTGGCTACTTTAGTTGTCTCCCTTGCTAGAATGTCTGATGAGTCATCCTTATATTCTGAAAGTAACTTGATGATAAAAGGTGATCAATAAATATTTTTTGAAAGAAATACCAAATAGCAACTGGACATAGGCAAACAGTGAATTATTTTTGCTGTTTATAAAGTCCTTTAATTTGAAGTATTGAAACTGTTCATTTGCTTTCCAAATAACACTCTAATTCATCTGTTTAATTAGGAGGTCAGTAAGACAAGTATCTGGCAATGTGCAGACACGAAATTCTACTAACCATGGAGGAAAGTCAAACTGACTAAGAGGATTAACTTGACATAACAGTGTACTATTTCCAAATTTTCTGCAGAAATACAAATCATTTGCATATACTTACCTGTCTTGTTTTTTTAAATGTAAAATACTATTTCGAAAGTTCTTTAATTAAAACTGCTTGAAATAACTTGTGTGTCATCTGATGCTATTCTTCCTTGGCTCGAAAATTGTTTTATTTCTTCAAAACTCAGCAAGGAGGCGTGTGGCTGATGTAACATTTGGAGCCCTCACATATCAGGGACAATCGGAATAATCCATGTATTTCGTACTATGCCAAGGATATCTGGTGAAATTTATATCAAAACAAGCATCCTATTTGTTTGGTTAGAATATGTCCTGCGAATTGACATGTGAAAGGATTACGTAAAACCTCCCTGTGTGTCTGTTTTTCTGAGTGTCAGCCTGTCTACCACCTATCTGTCTATGTATCTGTCTGTCTATGTATCTATCTATGTATCTGACTGTCTATGTATCTGTCTGTCTATCTATCATTTGTCTACGTATCATCCATCTCCTTTGTATTGTATTTGATGGAGTATTGTATCTGATTCCTTTTTGTCTAGTGGCAATATCTTATACGGCCTGTTAAGTACCTTTTATATTTTTGCTTTATTATTTCTAAATCTAAAGGGAATCCACTTGTTGCTAAACTGTACTTTGAAACTTCTCTTCAGTGTAAAAAATTTTCATCTTTTTTCCAATACATAATAATATAAATTCAGGCTTTCTTGTTTTGTCTTTTTTTTTAAACAATCAGAGTTATTGAGATAATTACCAGGGACTAGCAATGCAGATCACTTTGATGGCCAGGAGAAAAGCTTCAGCAGCCAGATGATTTTAGTCTGACAAGCTATGGGGCGTTGTTAGTTGTGAAATGCAAGCCAGCCTCGCAGTGCTGAGGTCTCGTGCAGGAAGACTTTGCTAAAGGACCAGTCGAAACTGTTTGTTTGCGTAATGTTCAGGGTATTACTGGGAGCTAGGAATGATAAATTGTATTCACGCCCTACAAAATGAATGGAACGTTAGCGAATTTAGTGTAAGTCCCTGTCTTAAGGACATAAATACCATCTGACTGGAAGCAGACAGATAAGGAGGAAGTGTTTTTGTTTGTTTTGGGTATTTTGGTATATGAAAGAAAAAGAAGGAGTTGTTGAGTTCGAGAAGTACGCTCACTCTAGTCGTGCAGCATTCTAGAAGGAGTAATGTGTAGATCGAGACTAATAGCTGTTGAACTTACGGGGTTTGAGGCTTCTTTGTAATTCAGAAACATGCTTTTGCAGTTCCCAGCGATGGACACTCACTGAGAGTCCACTGTGAGCTGGTCCCTGTAGACAAGGGTCAGTAACTCACACGTGCCGGAGTCAGGAAGCCTGCAGCCTCCTAAGGGAAGACATATCTGCAAATAAAAAATAGAGTACAGAGTGCTGAATGCTGTGGCAAAGACAAACACAGGTACGGTGAGTTTTAGGTAAGACACACCCACCCACTGGGAGCAGGAGGTAAGCAAGGAAGGCTTTTCTCAAGGGGAGGAAGTCCCTTTTAGTTGAGTCATGAAGGATGGGTAAGAACTAGAGAGGCTGAAAGAAGGAGAGGTGGGTGGTGGGAGGGTGTTCCCAGCTTGAGGGGCCAGCGGCAGTGTGGGCTGAGAAGCAGCAGGCACGTGGTGTTCCGGAGGACTGCAAGGCCTGTGGACTGACTGGAGCATAAGATCGGAGGCGGTCAGAGTCAACAGGAGTACAGGCAGAAGATGAATTCAGGAAATTTCAGTGGCCCGCCCAGTGGCGCAGCCATTAAGTGTGCACGTTCTGCTTCGGTGGCCTGGGGTTCACGGGATGGAGGTAATTGATTATTATCCAGTAAGGAATGGAGATTATGGCCTGTGAGGGGTGTTATTTGTCAGGGTTCTCCAGAGAAGCAGAACCAATAGGAGTCGTTGACAGTTCTGTGACACTGTCTATTCACAATCTGTTCCTGCTTGATAATGATCAATTAACATATACATATATATTATGTATATTTTGTATACAAGGAGAGAGAGATTGATTTGAAGGAGTTGACTCATGCAGTTGTTTGGGCTGACAAGTCTGAAATGGACAGGCAGATTGGCAGGCTGGAGACCCCGAAGAGACTTGTTGCAGTCTCGAGTCCAAAGGCATTCTGGAGCAGAATTCTCTCTTCCTGGGAAGAGGTCAGTCTTTTTTCTCATAAGGCCTTCAACTGATTGGATGAGGCCCAGCCACATTATGGAGGGTAATCTGCTTTATTCAAAGTCTACTGTTTAAATATTAATCACATCTGAAAAATACCTTACGGTACATCTCAGCAGCTGGAGGGCATAATCATGCATCACGCCTCTAGTTACATGTGCTGTTTCCTTATAATAACTTTTTTTATTCCTGCAAATTTAAATGTGGGCAGAAGTGACCAGGAGACCTGCTTGGTGTCTGTATTGGGGTTAGTGGGCCATTGTTTGTGTTCTCATTAGTGATCTCATGGGCTCTCATCATTTATTTGGATGTGAGTTTTGAGGTCTTCGTGTGGGTGTGGTTATGCATTTCCACATTACACTGTTAATGAAGTGACACAATGTGATATGTGCTTTGGTTTGATGCCAGGTTAGGTGTGGGTTGATGAACTCCAGGCCTTCAGTGAAATGTGTCAAGTGACAGTCTGGTCCCTGGTTGGTTTTAAGATGTTAAATATAAGTCTGTGTCAAGCTACAGAGCTGTTTCCTCAGGATGAGCCTCACTGGGAGGTGGGTGGTTAACATGGGGCTGAGGCCCGGCTTCCTGGGTCCAGGCTGGTAGTTCCTTGAGAGCTGTGTGCTCTAACTGTCCCCAGAGCACATGCTGTCGCAGAGGTTGCTTGGACCAGACTTGGGAAGGCCTGCACCTATCTCAAGTTATGTATGGATGCCGTTCTCAGCGTTTTTGGGTTGCGGTGGCATGCCTCCTGTGGAGAGGGTATATGATGTGTTCAAAGTTATTCTTAGTGGTTCTTCTGCTGGTCTCTGGACCAGCAGCATCAGCATCACCTGGGAGTTTGTTAGAAATGCAGATTCTTGTGCCCCACCCCAGACCGGCTGAATCAGACATTCTGGGGGTGGGGCTCAGCAAGCTATAGATTACCCAGCCCTCCAGGAGGGTCCCGTATACCCTCATGCCTGAGAACCACGATTCTCGGGAAATAGCTGCACGAGTCTGACCTATTAACAGTGCTGTAGTTAATTGATAGTGGCTGCTGCAGATTTCTTAAATATTTTAGTTTAATATTTAACATCACTGTTCCTCTCCAAACATGTTTTCTGCCTTTCTTCAGTATCATTTCCCTTCCCGCTGCTAAAATCATTACTGCACCTCTTCACTTCGCTTACCTTGCCCTAAACCCTGAATGTTTAACCTTCTGTCTTTCTGTATTGGCACAAATTTCAATTCTCTCTTAAAGCCCACTTGGTTTCTAATTTAATGCTAATGTTTTTACCATGATTTGCACCCCTCGTTGGGATTTTCCCTTTTCTGAACTCCAGAAGCGCTCACCGCCTACATAGGTGCTGTTTTCATGTGGGGCCCTCGCCACTGGATTACCACAAGTGTCTGTTCAGTGTTGTTCCTGGTGTCTAATGGCATCTCCATGCAAATGGATTTTTTTGATCAAGAGTAAGAAAATATTTCAAATCCATATTACTAATTTAAGTTTCGAGGTGTTTGGGACATGTAATTGTTTTAAAGGATGCTCACATAGGATAACTAGAAAGATGTGCATTCGGGATGAGTTCCACATGGCACTGTCAGTTTGGGGCTTGTTGCCAATGACAGTGTCCGTCTTCATTAGTTGAATTTAATGGTTTAGTACAGTAATCAATTTAATACATCTGCACGCACTGTGGAGAGAAAGGGGTTCAGGCGCGTTTGAGTTCAGTGATTAAAATCGTGTTTGAATTTTGTGTGAAATATCAATAGCATCCTTTACTTTGCATGTTACCCTTAGGATGATACAGTGACATTTCCCGTCAGCCCAGCAAACTAGCGCTGGCAGGTTAAGCACGGGAAACGCCAGACTAATGGAGAGTTTGGTGCTTTCTGAACATCTGCTTTTGAGACAGTGATTTCATATCTTGAATATCTAATAATTTTTAGAGGCTGATAATATGTCAATGTATGTCTTCCTAGACTAATACTTTTATGTTTCTTCATAGAATTTAAAAAATACTTATTAATATTTTTTAATATGCAATCACATAGTTAAAAAAATCAAATAATATTGATAGGTATGAAAATAAGAAGTAAATTCTCTGCCGTAGTCACTCACCCACACACTAAACTCCCAAATCTTTTCCTAAAGGTGTGACCACTGTTTACGTTTTCTTGTTTTTATTCATATTTATATACGAATCAAAAACAAAAAGAGAAAGCTGAAAAACTCAAACTCTATATGCACATAGACATACATGATACACACATACATGCACACGCGTATCTCAAATGGGCCCGCACTCTCTTTCTTGTTCTATATCTTGCTTTTTTTGCTCTTAAGCGTGTGTATCTTGGAGATGCAGATGTTGTCATTAGTTTCAGTGGTGCATGGTATTCCATTCTGTGCTGAACTATGATTTATTTGAACAGTGCTCTTCTGTATACATTTAGATGATTTTTACTTTTTGACATGACACGCCATGTTACAACCAATGGTCTTATTCACATATCTTGTATGCTTTTGCAGTTGATTAATAGACAAAATCTTATCAGTAGAATTATACTAAAGAGTGTGTGTGTTTGACATTTTGATGAGCTGTTTGTATCATCCTCCAAAGAGGGCAGCCCAGTTCAGGCTTCTCTGACAGCGGCTGTGAGAGTGACTCTTTTCGTTAGGTTTTATTACACATCTTATGTCTTTGTGTACTAAACTCTGCCGGTGGATGAGCTTCTGGTCACCGCGCCGGGCTCCCAGTGCTGCAGCCTTGCAGCCGGGCTGGGCCCTGCCCCGCCCCGCCCCGGTGGTCTCCCTGATGCACCATGCTTCCCACAGCGTCCAGCACACAGGCAGGTGTCATTTTGGGTGCCATTTGCTAGCCTTTTCCACCCACCACCTTTAGAATTGACTGGCAAAGTGTAGGCACATGATAATTGGGGAAACTAAGCATTTTTTTAAATATAGTCATAGATATTTGGTGATTCATAGATATTTGGTGTGTATGTTGGTGTTCTAGGCACAAAACCCCAAACTATATGTAGGCTGTAAAATTTCAAATTTCCTACATAAAAATGCAAGTTTCCCAAATAAAAAAAGAAATTTTATTTGACTATATGAGAATAAACTATGTGGTCTCTGTGTATATAAAATATCTGATACTGAATAAACGTTAGGTTCCAGTCTTCTCCCCCTGAACCTCTTAAAATCTGTGAATCTACATCTAATTAGTGAATCATGAACTTTGAGAAATAGAAATATGAGACATTATTCATTCTCTACAGGATCTTAGAATGTGGCCGCGTGGAAGAGAACTGACTCCCGTGGAGGAGCGGAGGCAGCCGGTGCTCTCCGGCCAGTGCTCTCGGGCCGCTCAGCCTTCGGAGAAGGTGGGATCATTGCGCGGAGCTTGCATTTGGCCTTGAAGGATGAAGAGCATCTAAGATGTCCATGTTTAATGCTTTATTTAATTTATTTAGTAACTAAAAATATTTATTTAATGCTGTTTTAACAAACGGCTCTTAAATCCAGCCTGGTAAAATGCAATATGAGGGAATACAACTTAACTGCATTGTCACATCTGGGTACTCTCTCTGGGCAGCTGACCTTGAGAGAGAAGGAAGTTGAAGGGTCCCAGAGGGATCGTCCGGGCTGAGGAGGCAGCATGAGCAAAGGGACGGGGTTGGAAGCACATTTTATCATATGTGATATGTGACCAGATTATAATGACCTGGTAAGTTTTGTAGAATGAGCCCTGGACTGGGGGCCAGAATATTTGGACGTTAGTCTTTGGCTCTCGTGATAATTAGCTCTGTGACCAGGGACGAGTCCTTCCCCAGCCTGGGGCTCAGCTTCTTTGTCTATAGAACCAGGGTCTTAGGTTAGAAGATCTTTAAGGGTCTTTCCATTTCAGTAAGTCTGGAATTTGGTACATAATGAGACAGTAAGATGACTGGGAGGTCAGCCTGGCCAGGCGGAGAGGGTCTTGCCGGCAGAGCAGAGCGTGGTGTACTTGACGTTGTGGCTGCTGGATGTGGCACTCCGACAGGAGGGGGCCGTGTTGGCTTCGATGAAGTCTTTTTAGTACTATCTTTAAGTAGATATTGAGAAAATGTTGAGGGTAGGATTATTTTAGTTCCTTGTCTTTCAGTAGTACTTCATTTATCGTCTTATTGCCCCACACGTCTGATGACAGTTTGCATCAGCCAACAGAATTCATTTATATATAGAGGAAGCATAGTAAGAAGATGTTATAAAGCTGTTTTAGATTTTGGTCCCTTTATTTTTCATATAAGTCTCTCAGCAAATACTGTTTTAAAACATACCTGGAATTTTGTTTTTATCCAGGTGTATTGAGGCTCACTGATCAAGAGACCACTGCCACTGAAGATCGTTTGTTACTCTCTTTTCCAGGAGGCCAGGGACATCATGCTGTGCCCAGGGATGCACCAGAGTTGGCCAGGAGGCAGCAGGAGCAAGGGAGAATGTGGGCACAAGCCTCATCGTGTTCTGTGGGAAGGAGTGGGCGAGGCAGGGGGAGCAGACTTAGCATCGCTGGTTTGGATAATTTCGGTGGTCCGGCTCTAAGGGCCGTCTTAATGGTCTGCCTGCCCCGGGATGCTTCAGGGCAGGAGAATAGTGTCCCAAAGTGCAGGCGCCTGATAGAAAGACGTGAGAGGGGTGTGGACTCAGGCTTCATTGGTTTGCACATCAAGGGCGTGATCACAGACAAGTTGTTTGCTGCCTCTAGGAATGAGCTCACTCTGAAAGGGCCAGTCCCTCCTCTGTCCGCAAGCCGCTAAATGTCAAAGCATCATAAAATACAGAACATAAAAAACGTGAGTAATACAAATACTATAGAGATGTCACTCAGAGACTGTAGCTATATTATTACTTGAACAAAATTGAGAGCATTTCCTCTCTGTCTGCATCTGAATTCCATGAGAGCAATGGCAAGTAATCTTTTCCTGTACTTTTATCTAGAAGGTTAATTTCATTTGTCTTTAGTTTGTATCCCACATTGAATCAGAGCAAAAAAGAATTTGAAAAGTGGACTTGAAACAGCAGGTGAAATTCAGATAGTGGTTTATCACTGGAGTTGTTAAACAGGCTTTCAGTGTTTCCTACAGTTCATGCAGCCAGTGGGTGTCACCCTCTGTTCTGATGGCAGAGGACCAGCAGGTGCCCGAAAGCCCTGGAGTGCTCCTGGAGTGCGGTCTGACGGTGAAGGGAAGGGTGGAGGCGTTGCCCGACAGTTCCAAGGTCATGGCTTGAAATCACCAAACACAAGTTGGTGGGTGAAAATCCTTTGTTTTGCTTCCTTGATTGGAATTCATAGACAGGGAAATGAAGACACTGATTAATTAGAAAACATCATTGTAACTTGTAGTATAAGTATATGATGCATCCAAGGCCATCAGGAGGGAACAGAAATCAGGCCTTTTTGGTTATTTTCCCACCTCATAATCCTCTCTTCCGAAATGATGGATTTTAAATTGGCAGATGGAGAGGTACCATAGCAAAGACTTACTTTATGTTCCTTAAACCATTATCTCCCCCTTTCGGAGCACTGGGTTTTATTCCTAAAGCTTTATTTTCAGTTTTCAGAGCTAAAGTTTGAAACCTGAGAAATCACAGTAATGGTTTTATTTTTCTCCATTCATGTCTATTTCCTTAAGAGTTCTGTCTGGGAGGATAAAAGGGCTCATTTTTCCTTTTTTTAAAAAATTAATTCTCTATTCATTAATAGTGGTGTGGATTTATGTGCTTTATGAAAGCGTTAGCCCAGACAGAGGCAGAGGATGTTAGAGCCGCAGGAGCTCTGGGGAACGTGGAGTCCAAGTGCTTCATTTCACAGACCGGCGCAGTCGGGGCCGGAGGCTCGCTGTCGTTTGTTCCAGTTTTGCAGCTCTTTATGGCAGGGTTGGCGTTTGGTCTTAGGTCACCAGACCCCAAATTCAGAATTCTTCCTGCTCTATCATATAGTAGTAAATCCTTTTTTATTTGCAAAATTGTTCAAAGAATGAGGGCAGCATAGCATAAGAGAAATGTAAATTTATTTTGACGTGCAAAATTATCATCTTTCCTGTGTATGTCTACACATCTATAATCTTGATCCATCCAAAAGACATATGCACATAAGGAGCTTGAGTAATTTAACTCTTAAGGAAGAGGTAATGTCATTTTTGTGAGGAATATGTTTCTTCTATCTAGGCAGAATTTCAATAGCAAATAAAGAAGGGTGAACCAAACACCCTAATCCACCAACTGAGTGACAGGCAGCATGTTCTGTATTCCTTTCTATATTTGAATGATACAGTGATTATAAAAATGCTTCAGGAGCTGTTGTGCTCACGTAATCAACTCTTTAAATACTATTTCTTGTTACTATTTCAGTTTTTGCAGTAGAACCTGTATGAGACAGGACTCATGTTGTTTTGAATTATGTAAATTTCACGTGTCGAGTGGGTAAAGGGGGATGAAATTGGGGTAAAGAGCTACCCTAGAAAATTAGACCCGATTCAGTTCATTGTTTCACATGCAGCACAAGAGAGGCAGATAGGATGGGTTCCTGCTCTCCCACCCCCACCCGCTCTATGGAGCAGCGGCCATGCGGCCCCGCCTGTGGCCCCCAGACCTTAAGTGGCGTCAGCTGGCTTGTTGGAAACTCATAATCTCAGGCCCCACCCCAGACCTACTGACTCAAGATCTGCATTTTAACAAGAGGCCCAGGTGATTTGTATGCATGTTACAGGTTGAGAAGCACTGGGTTATAGTACCTGTTATCAGGATGCTACTTTATTAGTTGCACGAAGATATCCATGGTAACTTTCAGTGTGTCATTTACCAGGCCCAAAAATACTATTCTTGAACCTTGCATTCATGCCTTCATTCAGCAAATGTTTGTTGAGCTAGACTAGGTGCCAGACTATGTTCTGGGGATGAAGGGTGGTTAAGACATTGTCTCAGCAAGCTCATCAAGCAGGTGAGACCAATAGGATGGATGATGGCAGTCCAGTGCCAGAGGCCCAATAACAGAGATTAGCACAGGATATTTCCAGGCTTCAGAGGGTTACCCAACCTAGTGTGGGTGGAGTGGGGAGAAGGAAGTAGGATCAAAGAAAGCTTCCTGAGTTAACTCCTAAAGGATGAGTAGATGTGTATTTGTTTTCTATTGCTGCATAACACATTACCACAAACTTAGTGGATTAAAACCCCCCTTTTCTGTTACCTCAGATTTTCTGTAGGTCAGGTGTCCAGGCTTAAAGGGATTCTCTGCTCAGGGTCTCAAAAGGTAAAATCAGAGTGTTGGCCTGGCTGAGTTCCTTTTGGAGCTCAGTGGTCTCTTCCAAGCTCATCTGATTTTCAGCAGAATTCAGTTTGTTGTGGTTGTAGGACTGAGGTTCCCGTTTTCTCTGGCTGTCAAACAGGGGCCACTCTTGGCTCCAAGAGGCTCTGCACTTGTTTGCCACGTGGCCCTCTTACAGCATGCTGTCCCATTTTCAAGGCCAGCAGAGATTCTGGCTCCAATCAGTTGAGTTGGTGTCATATTGTGATACAATCAAGGGGGCGACTGTCCCATCACTTTTGCCGTATTTGGTGATCTAGACGGCAGTGACAGGTTCCACCCCACTCAGGGGAGGGGATTCTATCAGGGGTCGTCTGAGAATCCTGCCCACAGCAAGGAAATTAGCTGGTGGAGGAGGGAGTGTGGATGAAAGAAACTACAGAGCGAGTTCAGGGAACTTTGGGTGGGAGGTAAAAAGAGCTTTAGAATATAAAACGATGAACTCCTTTTGGTAGTTTCTGAGTTTTGGGAGCTTGTAGAGGGTCCGGATGAAGCTGTGCAGTGGGACTTTGGATCCGCTTGTTTGAAACTTGACGGAGGGAGATGAAGATCCATCAGTCATCGTGCTGTGAGACTGAAAGTGGACTGAATGGCGTAGGGTGCGTGGGTAGGCCGTGGCCAGATGGAAGCCCTGGAAGAGCAGCAGTGATGGTCGAGCACGGGAAGAGGCCTGGGCAGGGAAGGCAAAGGTGAGCCCAAGGCTGCGACGCAGGGGAAGGGCGAGGGCAGTGTCGTCACAGTCAGGCCGTGAGAATGCGATGAGGAGGAGGGAACGGCAGAGGACGCCCTCTAATCAGCCACTCAGCAGAGAGTCAACGCCTAGCAAATGATGGGTAGTCAGCACCCAAACATTGGATGTTGTATTTTATTTGCATCCTTAAAACTCAGCAGAGTTCCTGGCGTATAATAATTGCTCAATAAATGTTTTTTAAATAGGTAATTAATTCAGTTAGGGTTTTAAGGTTCTTCTTTACTCTCTCCTCAGAATTCTTCTTTGATCAGAGATTTGTTCATTTGAGATGATTTTTCACTTGGTAAACACAAGTAGGCAAGCTAACAGTTTCTATTGAATCTGGATACAGTCTTAACAATTTGAAACCTGGCAACATACCTGTGATAGCTACCACGGAGAGTCTACCACGTGTGTGTAATAAGGCTTCACCCGAGGATCTCTAATCCTTAAAATGATCCAGGAAAGAAGTTATGATTATCTCCAAGTCACAGGTTAGGAAACTAAGGTTCAGAGAGGTTAAATCACTTGCCCAACGTCACACAGCTATAGGGGGAGCGGGGGTTTGAGCCCTCAGCTGTCTGGTTTTAAAACCTGTACAGAGACAGAACTCTCTTATTGTATATAAAACACTAAATAGCCTAGGAATCATATTAAAACATAAGGCTGTAATAAGTAAAACAGTGTGGTACTGGTACTTGAATAGAGAGACAAACTAAAGAAACAGAAGAGAAAAGCCATAAGTAGGAGCAAATGCACATGGCAGTTTAGTATGTGGTTCACACGTCTTAGACTGGTGGGGAGGATGAGGGCCATTCAGTAGGTGGTCTTGGGACAGGTGAATAGCCACCTGGGCAAAGATATTGTGTCTTTACTTCATACCATGTCCTGGGACAGCTTCAGATTTATCAAAGATTTAAATGTAAGAAAGAAACCGTAAGTGTAATAGACATAAACAAAGGAGAAGGCTTTATGATCTGGGAGTGGAGAAGCATTTTCCAACTATTACTCAAATCTAAAAGCCATAAAAGAAAAGTTTGATAATTTCATTTTTTTAAAATAAACAAACAACAAAAATTTCTGCATATTAAAAAAGATCGTAAGAAAAGTAAAAAAGAGAAATCACAAACTTGGAGAAAATAGTTCATCTCATATTGTAGACAAAGGACTAATCTTCCTAATTTATCAAGACCAAAAGATGAATAATCATTCCAACAGAAAAGTGGACCAAGGATATAAAGAGACATTTCACAGAGAAGGAAATACAAATGGCTTTTAAATATGCAAAATGATCTTTAACTTCCTCATAATGAAACAGATGTAAATTAAAACTATAGTGAGAGACCATTTTTCAGTCATCTTGGCAAGACTCCAAAAATTTGTTGACAAGGCTATGCGGAAACAGGCCCTGGCCCGAGGCATTTGGCACTGTTGACGGGCACCTTGTGTGGGGCCCGCTGTGGTGGTATTTATCTGCAGGAAAACATGTCTGCTTGGGCCCGCACTTCCACTTCTGAAAAGTCATTCTGTGATCGCCTTGCACACATGCAAGATGAAATGTGTGCTCCTTTTTCACTGCAGCATTATATGATTGGAAAAAAGATTGGAAACAACCTAAACATCCAAAAATATGGAACCAGTTAAATAAATTATGAAATATCCATTCAGGGTAATACTGTGCAGCTGTGAAAACAAGAACAACAATGCTCTTTATAACCTGATGAAGATCTCCAAGGTATTTTGCTAAGTGAAAAGAGAGTCAGAAAACAGAATTATCATGTGCTACCTTTTGTGCATGAGAACAAACATAAGAATATATATTCACATTTCTTTGTATTCTTATAACAACCACTTTGCATGGGTGAGTTAGACTGATAACAGGGATCACCGGATGGGGGTACTATGAATTGGCCGATGGGGGAGGGTAGGTGGGAAAGTTGTCACTGGATTATTTGTTTGTATGTATATTTTTTTCCTTGAACCATATGAACTCAAAAGATAAAAGGAATTATATCTATAGAAAGATACCAAGCTAAGGCATCTCAAGGAATCTGTCAAGATCAATTCTCTATGGCTCTATGGGCAGGTGGCAGCCTGGCGCAGCCATCTTCAAACTTGTTAGTTTGCTTACCCTGTCAGTAAAGAAAGTTGATCACATATCTCCATATATGTGGATTATTTGTTTATTTGAAAATTATATGACTTACTACTATACAAATCGTATTTTGTACCTTAAAGCCGTAGACTAAAAAAGAAACTAAAAAAGTGTACATAAAAATGAAATTAATAGTATTTATTTTAACAGTTAAAAATGAGTTTGCTCTCATTAAAATATTAATATGAATGATTCTTTTTTGGAAACTCGATTCAGAGCTTTGTGTTGCCATTATCTGAAGTCTATTTATTTTATTTTAGTGAGGTCATAATAGTTTATAACATTGTGAAATTACAGTTGTACATTATTATTAGTCACTATATGTATGTGCCCCTTTACCCCTTTTGCCCACCCCCAAACTCACTTCCCCTCTGATTACCACTAATCTGTTCTCTTTGTCCATGTGTGTGTTTATTTTCCGCTTATGAGTGAACTCATAGGGTGTTTGTCTTTCTCTGTCTGGCTTATTTTGCTTAACATAACACCCTCAAGGTCCATCCATGTTGTTGTGAATGGGACAATTTTGTCTCTTTTATGGAAGAGTAGTATTCCATTGTGTATATACACCACATCTTCTTTATCCAGTTGTCAGTCAGTGGGAACTTGCGTTGCTTCCACATCTTGGCAACTGTGAATGATGCTGTAATGAACATAGGGGTGCTTGGGTCTCTTTGAATTATTGATTCCAGTTCTTTAGATAAATACCCAGTAGAGGGATAACTGAGTCGTATGGTATTTCTATTTTTCGCTTTTTGAGAAATCTCCATACTGTTTTCCATAGTGGCTGGACCAGTTTGCACTCCCACCAGAAGTGGATGAGGGTTCCCCTATTCTCCACAACCTCTCCAACATTTGTTATTTTTTGTCTTGGTGATTATAGCTATTTTAGCAGATGTAAGGTGATATTTTAGTGTAGTTTTGATTTGCATTTCCCTGATGATTAGTGATGTTGAATATCTTTTCATGTGTTTATTGGCCATCTGTATATCTTCTTTGGGAAAATGTTCATATCCTCTGCCCAGTTTTTGATCGATTGTTTGGTTTTTGTTGTTAAGTTGTGTGAGTTTTTTAATATATTTTGGAGATTAACCCCTTGTGGAATATATGATTTGCAAATATTTTCTCCCAGTTGTTGGGTTGTCTTTTCATTTTGTTCCTAGTTTCCTTTCCCTTGCAGAAGCTCTTTAGTCTGATGAAGTCCCACTTGTTTATTTTTTCTTTTGTTTCCCTTGCCCAAGTAGACGTTATATTCAAAAAGATGTTCCTAAGTCTGATGTCAAAGAGTGTATTGCCTATATATTCTTCTAGAGTTTTATGATTTCACGTCTTACCTTCAAGTCTTTAATCCATTGTGAGTTAATTTTCGTTTATGGCGAAAGATAATGGTCTACTTTCATTCTTTTGTATGTGGCTGTCCAGTTTCCCCAACACCATTTATTGAAGAGATTTCCTTTTCTCTGTTGTATGTTCTTTGCTCCTTTGTCGAAGATTAGCTGTCCGTAGATGTGTGGTTTTATTTCTGGGGCTTTCAATTCTGTTCCATTGATCTATGTGTCTGTTTTTGTACCAGTACCATGCTGTTTTGATTACTATAGCTTTGTGGTACATTTTGAAGTCAGGGATTATGATGCCTCCAGCTTTGTTCTTTTTTCTCAGGATTGCTTTAGCTATTTGAGGTCTTCTGTTTCCCCATGTGAATTTTAGGATTCTTTGTTCAATTTCCATGAAGAATCTCATTGGGATTTTGTTTGGGATTGCATTGAATCTGTAGATTGCTTTAGGTAGTATGGACATTCTACCTATGTTTATTCTTCCAAGCCATGTGCATGGAATATCTTTCCATTTCTTTATGTCATCATTGATTTATTTCAGTAATGTCTTATAGTTTTCATTGTATTGGTCTTTCACCTCCTTGGTTAAATTTATTCCTAGATATTTTATTCTTTTCATTGCGATTGTAAATGGGATTGTATTCTTGAGTTCTCCTTCCGTTAGCTCCTCGTTAGAGTATAGAAATGCAACTGATTTTTGTAAGTTGATTTTGTACCCTGCAACTTTGCTGTAGTTGTTGATTATTTCTAATAGTTTTCTGATGGATTCTTTAGGGTTTTGTAGTATAAAATCATGTTGTCTGCAAACACTGAGAGTTTAACTTCTTCCTTGCCAATTTGGATACCTTTTATTTCTTTTTCCTGCTGAATTGCTCTGGTCAAAACCTCTAGTACTATGTTGAATGAGAGTGGCAAGAGTGGGCACCCTTGTCTTGTTCCTGTTCTCAGAGTGATGGCTTTCAGTTTTTTCCCATTGAGTATGATGTTGGCTGTGGATTTGTCATCTATGGCCTTCATTATGTTGAGATACTTTTCTTCTATACCCATTTTATTGAGGTTTTTATCACAAGTGGATGTTGGATCTTATTGAATGCTTTCTCTGCATATATTGAGATGATCATGTGTTTTTTATTCCTCATTTTCTTAATGTGGTTATCACATTGATTGATTTGCGGATGTTGAACCATCCCTGCATCCCTACAAATCCCACTTGATCATGGTGTATGATCCTTTTAGTATATTGCTGTATTTGATTTGCCAATATTTTGTTGAGGATTTTTTCATCTATTTTCATCAGCGATATTGTTCTGTAATTTTCCTTCTTTGTGTTGTCCTCATCTGGCTTTGGGATCAGGGTGATGTTGGCCTCATAGAATGTGTTAGGAAATGTTCCATCTTCTTCAATTTTTTGGAATAGTTTGAGAAGGATAGGTGTTAAATCCTAGAATGCTTGGTAGAATTCTCCGGAGAAGCCATCTGATCCTGGAATTTTATTTTGGGGGAGGTTTTTGATTGTGGTTTCAATCTCTTTACTTGTGATTATTCTATTCAGATTCTTTATTTCTTCTTGATTCAGTTTTGAGAGGTTGTATGAGTGTAAGAATTTATCCATTTCTTCTAGATTGTCCAATTTATTGGCATATAGTTTTTCATAGTATTCTCTTATAATCCTTCACATTTCTGTGGTATCTGTTGTAATTTCTCCTCTTTCAGTTCTAATTTTATTTATTTGAGGCTTCTCTCTTTTTTTCCTAGTGAGTCTGGCTAAGAGTTTGTCAATATTGTTTATCTTCTTAAAGAATCAGCTCTTAGTTCTTTGATTCTTTCTGCTGGTTTTTTGGTTTTATTTCTGCTCTTTTATTATTTCCTTCCTGCTACTGACTTTGGGCTTTATTTGTTCTTCTCTTTCTAGTTCTGTTAGATGTACTTTAAGATTACTTATTTGAGATTTTTCTTATTTGTTAAGGTGGGCCTGATTACTATGAATTTCCCTCTTAGGACTGCTTTTGCTGCATCCCAAATGAATTGGTATGATATATTTTCACTGTTATGTGTCTTCAGATATATTTTGATTTCTTCCTTAATTTCCTCATTGATCTATTGGTTTTTCAGTAGCATCTTGTTCAGTCTCCACGTATTTGTCACTTTCTCAGCTATTTTCTTGTGGTTGATTTCTAGTTTCATAGCATTGTGGTTAGAAAAGATGCCTGATATGATTTCAGTCTTCTTAAATCTGTTGAGGCTTACCTTGTTTCCTGACATATGGTCTGTCTTAGAAAATGTTCCATGTGCGCTTGGGAAGAATGTGTATTCTGCTGATTTTGGATGGAGTGTTCTATATACATCTATTAAGTCCATTTTGTCTAGTTTTTCATTTAGTTCCACTGTTTCCTGTTGACTTTCTGTCTGGATGATCTATCCATTGATGAAATTGAGGTGTTAAGGTCCCCTGCTATTATTGTGTTGTTGTTAATATCTTCTTTTAGGTTTGTTAATAGTTGCTTTATGTACTTTCATGCTCCTGTGTTAGGTGCATATATATTTATAAGTGGTATGTCCTCTTGATGGAGTGTCCCTTTTATCATTATATACTGCCCCTCTTTGTCTCTCATTGTCTTTTTTATCTAGAAGTCTATTTTGTCTGGTATAAGTATGGCAACGTATGCTGTCATTTGTTTGCCATTATCTTGGAGTATTGTCTTCCATCCCTTCACTCTGAGCCTGTGTTTGTCTTTATAGCTGAGATGTGTTTCCTGGAGGCAGCATATTGTTGGGTTTTGTTTTTTAATCCATCCAACCACTCTATTTTTTTATTGGAGAATTCAATCCATTTACATTTAGAGTAATTAATGATACATGAGGGCTTAATGCTGCCATTTTCTCACTTGTTTTCCAATTGTTGTATATTTCCCTTGTTTCTTGTCCTTGCATATCCAACTGCCTGTTCAGTTTCATGCTTCTTTATGACGGTTTTCTCTTTATTTATCATTTGTGTCTTTGTTCTGATTTTTTCTTTAGTGGTTACCATGAGTTTTGTATAAAAGATCTCATAGAAGAGATAGTCTTTTTTCTGATAGTCTCTTATTCCCTTAGTCTAAGCAGGTTCCATCCATTTCCTCTTTCCTGTCTAAGTTATTGTTGTCACAACTTATTCCATTTTGTGTTGTGAGTTTGTGATTAAAATGAAGTGATGGTTTCCTTCCCTTTATCTCTAATGTTATAATTAATTGTTTGCTGCCCTGTCCTGATAGAGAGCTTCAATTTTCTGATTTTTGTCTGTCTACTTATCTCCTTGCTCAACAGTTTGTAAACCTTTTTTTTTTTTTCAGGTATGAGGGTCTTCTTGATTATTTCTTGTAAGGGAGCGCATCTTTGGTTGAACTCCCTTAGCTTTTGTTTATCTGGGAAAGTTTTTATTTCTCTATCATATCTGAAGGATGGTTTCACTGGATAGAGTATTGTTGGCTCAAAGTTTTTGTCTTTCAGGATTTTGAATATGTCATTCCACTCTCTACTAGCCTGTGAAATTTCTGCTGAGAAATCTGCTGAGCCTGATGGGCATTCCTTTGTAGGTTATTTTCTTCTTTCTGTCTTGCTGCCCTTAGCATTTTTTCTGTCATTGGCTTTTGCTAGTTTTACTAATATATGCCTTGGAGAAGATCTTTTTATGTTGATGTAATTAAGAGTTCTGTTAGCTTCGTTTACATGTAATTCCAGCTCCTTCCTCAGTTTTGGGAAGTTTTCAGCTATTATTTCTTTGAACAATCTCTCTGCTCCTTTCTCCCTCATGCTCTTCTCCCTCCTGAGTCCCTATAATCCTTATGTTGCATTTCCTAATTGAGTCAGATATTTCTCTGAGAATCTTCATTTCTTTTTAGTCTTAGTTCTATCTCCTCCTCCATCTGCAGGATTTCTGTATTTCTGTCCTCTAAATTACTCATTCTGTCCTCCATAATATCAGCTCTATTTTTTAAGG